GGTAATCCTCGGAGTTCTCAAGGGAGAGTGAGGGTAGCGGAGGATTGCCTTTCGAATCCCCTACTACGGGGGTCAGACATTCTGATCAACAACACTAGCAATTTCCAACTCGCCTTGTTCATCGAATACTTATGTTGTCTTCGAGCTTCGGCATTGGAACTCCATTAGTGGGGTCCTCAGATATGCAATCATCTCTGCAACATGGTATCTGTTATTATGCAAGCCTTCATCATCTCGAGCGTCAAAGAGATGCTTATTCTCCATCATATATTGAACTGGGGCGAGGCTACTAGCCATGGGTATCAACTCGTACGGCGGTGGGTATAGCCTCTTCCCAACGCGCACACTCAACTAGGGGAAGTCCTCTCTGTTGGTAACTTGGTTGATTGTCCATTCTATGAAAGATAGTCCCCCAGGACTATATAAGAAGAACCATAGTCTAGGGTCGGCGCCCCAGCCAATCATAACGCTATCCACCACTTCAAACTTCTCCCATTACAATATATCCTAGGCCTTCGAGATGGGACCCTCCACGAGCAGCCCAATAACGTCACCGGGGGAGAGCGGATATAGGCTAACTTACCACCCATGCCGTGTTCCAGATATCTACACTATATGACCAGCCTCTTTGCATCATCATCTCAGGCGCTTTGTAGAACTCTGGCTGTATTTCTTCATATGGATAAGAACCCCCGATCCGAGCCTCGCCGAAGTTCCACAGCACAGAGGAACCCCATGCGTGGTTCTTTGGATGCCGGAAAGACCGAGATGCTTAGATTGTTCGTTCAACGCTCACAATTTTACGTGGGCAGGGTTTTACGCCCAGCCTCCTCAAAGTCCATAAGTATGCTCTCATCCTGGATGGTCAGCATGAGTTAGGTCCAAGACATAGTCAGTTGAGGTTTTGCTTCGATGAGCCTAGTCAAGGTACCACAGTGTGTGACATTGGCTTACTGAGATCCCTGAGTTCACCCCAATGGCTGCATAAAGTTTCATTGCGATCATCAAAGCGTTTGATGGTTTCTTAGAGCGACTGAATCGACTGCACACCTCCGTCTTTTCGCTGACATCCTTGTCAAGATTGTTCGGGCATCACCAGAATTCGGTCCTCAGAGAGGCAGGGAATGTCACAACCACCAAAAGAAATCGAGACGAGCGATTCGGTGGACTCGTTGGTGGGCTGTCTTTTGCGGCCTCTCCACTCTTCTTCATCCGACCACTCCACGCCAGATTCTTCCAACTCTTATGGCTCCTCCACCCTCAATCGCTGACTGACACTCCTGGATTTCCTTTGAGATGCTGTTGCTCTTGAAAATTGCTGATACCTCTCAAATTCACAAATCTCCGTCGCCCCTGTATCTTCGGTCCCGACGAGAAGCTTTCTTGCTCCTTGTGCATCGAGAAAGTCTCGTAAGTTTTCAAAAAACTGTGTACCCTAACCGGGCGAAGAGGGGTTGGGGTGGGTTGTTGAGCTGATGAAGTTCAACTCCATGACAAATTTGCCCGATGTGTGACCCTGGACGAGTGTTGAAGCAGTAAGCAACAAAGTCGTCCGGCGGTGGGTGGGACGATTACAAAGCGCTTGGAATCAAAGATGGTGTGAATGTCGCTCCTCAAGCGGGTGGTGTTATCTGGATGCTTCATCTTGTCGATTGCGATAGAAGGTGCGTAATCATACATGAGATTCCCGTTAAACCACCCTCTTTCCGCCGTGGGAATCAAGTGAGCGTTTTCCACAGCATAGCCACACTGTGTGAGCCTACAGTTCCACTTGGGTGGTGCGTGTGATCTCCGGAGGAGATTCGGAAAATCTCTCCAGGGGAGAGGAAGAGTGGCCGGAAATCGCCAGTGATCGAAGGTGGGAACAACGGGGTAGTCCACGACCTATCCTACTTACCGTTAGAAATTTGCAAGCTTGCATCAGAAAACGTGAGCATATCGTTGACAGGCTGCGCCACGTGAAAATAATATGACTTGCTCCCCAGATTGCTCTCAGATTTGCCAACCACCGGCTTGTTTCCATCTCTGTCAGTAGAAAGATACCCTTCCCATGCGTTGTTTGCAACAATTGCACATCCAATCCGTGCCGTTTCGTAGTGCGCAGGTGAGCCACATTTGAGGAGGACGTTCCGGAAATCATCCTGATAATATGGATGTCTTACCCTAATAGGCTCAACATCGGTAGGATGCGTTTGTCTCTGCGGATGAGATGGTTCGGGGCAATAAATGGTAGAAGCTCGCAGAGGGGGGAAACGCGTTGTTTACGTTCATTGTTTACGGTCACGCGGGGGTGGAAGCTTGGCACGTCGAGCAAACCTACTTGCCGAATGCGGGTTTAGGGCGGCGTCACCCCCGTCCCGATCTGGGGTGAGCCGCGAGCAGTTTTTACTTATTCTTGGCGAGAGCTGTCGAAGCGGGGGCTTTAACTGAGAGACACCACCTGCTCAATCACTATTGCGGTGGAAACCTCGATCCTTGTGTTTTCAGCTTCTGTTGACCCCTTTTCGTGGTTGACAGGACGAGACCTCGTCAACCCCTCGTTGATTCTCCAGGAACGCTGCCCAGTGTCCTTGAGAAGCTCTCAAACCCCAAAACCGCTCACTACGTCATAGCATCGAGACGCGATGGTGAAATGGGCAACTCTTCTCTTCGGAGCTCGCGAAAGGGACTCACCACATCACCATGGCGAGACACGGAGATGTAAGTTACAGCTCTGCACTCTGTTAAAACCAGGATATTGAATTGAACTAGTACTTCCCGCGCACAGCTCCGACCTCCCGCCATCTGCCTTTCCCGCCAAAGAAGTCACCAAAGTTGCGCTCCGATTGAAGTATCAGATCGAGGAAGTCATCCCCATCGAGCTCCCTGAGGAGAAAGTCATAGCCGCCAACAGCTCTGTGATAACCCAGAAGGTGGTGCAAACCGCCAAGGAAGCGGGCGGTACTGACTATGCGGCATGTGTGGTATATTGTCTACTTGTGTGCAAGAGATGGTTCACCAGACAAGCCAATCTGGAGCTTTGGGATGCAGACTTGCACCACGTTCGTGCAAAGGCCTGTGAAATGATCGCCAAACGCATCATCGAGGCCGAGGATGACCAAGAGTATCTGATGCAAGACATCCTCCTCAAGCGATACTCGGTCCTCCGCAAAGAGGAAGAGACTGTTCCGCAAAATGTCATTGAGAGAGCCGTCGACCTCCACTGCCTGATCGTCATTGGGTCATCTGGCTACCAGAAGTGCGTCAAGTACCTTTGGAGAGGTTGGATTCACCAGGACGACAAGGACCCCGGCAGGTTCGTCTTTTACAAGGACCGGGACAACACCAATTACTGGGTCCATCTGAACCCCGACCGCATGCGCACGCCCTTGTACCAGAACGCCCTGCAAATCTCGATATCCGTTCTCTATCTAGCCCTGTATACCGGTGCAGTCAACACCGTGAACGAAGACGGCGACCTGGACGTCGTCGAAGGCATCCTCTATGTCATGACGTTGGGCTTCATCTGCGATGAAATTGGCAAATTCTGGAAAGTCGGCATCTGGTATTTCGGTTTTTGGAATGCCTTCAACAATTGCCTCTATGCCCTGCTTACTGCCTCCTTTATCATCCGCATGATTGCGCTCGGCCATTCCCCAGACGAGAATGACGACAAGCGTCGCCAACTCAACCGATTGGGCTATCACATATTCTGTGTTGCCGCGCCCATGTTCTGGGGCCGCCTCCTCTTGTACCTGGACACGTTCCGCTTCTTTGGTGCCATGCTGGTCGTCCTGAAAGTCATGATGCGGGAATCGATCATCTTCTTCGCCCTCCTCCTGGTTGTTTGCGTAGGCTTTCTTCAGGCTTTCATCGGTCTCAACCAAGTCGAGGGAAACGCCAGCATCACCAGCTTCATCATCACCGCCATGGCCAACTCCGTCATGCAATCACCTGATTTCGAGGGCTTTGACAACTATGCTCATCCCTTCGGCCTCATACTATATTACATATTCACATTTGTCGTCATGGTGATCCTGCTCAATATCCTGATCGCGTTATACAACAGTGCATATGAAGATATCACGCAGAACGCGATCGACGAGTACATGGCCATGTTTGCGCAAAAGACATTACAATTCGTCCGTGCCCCAGATGAAAATGTCTTCATCGCGCCTTTCAACCTAATTGAGTTGTTCTTTCTGGTAATTCCGTTTGAATGGTGGATGTCCCCATATCACTATGAGCGATTGAATAACTATGTCATGGGCGTCATCTATTCGCCGCTTTTATTGATCACGGCTGGTCTGGAAGCTGTGGATGCCCGCAGCGTGCGAAGTAATAGGAGCCGAGGAGAGGAGGATGACGACACGGTTGAAGAGTGGGAAGAACTTGCGGGTGAATTGAATTTCGAATCCGAAGGATGGGACAAAAAGGTTCAGTCCTCAAGACCCGTGGTCGAGGTCGATGCCGATGTCGTCGAGATAAGACAGCTGAAGGAGCAGGTTGATGAATTGCAACGGATGGTAAGGGCGTTGAGTCCTGGAGCTGACGGCGAGGGGAGTCGCTGAGGTTGGTTTGTCAAATGGAATGACGGGAAAATGGCTAATAATCCCCCCTGGCGGTTGTCTGTTTGACCAAGTTGCCATATTGCCAAGTTGGCTACCAAGTGATTCTAAATTGTAATATGCATCACGACTACCAGATACGAAAGGACCAGAATGCTAGACGAAGGGTCAAACACCTTGAGCATAATTCTAAACAGCTCAACAACCACGAAAAGGTAGAAGTTCCGATACACATATGTGAAATTCCTTATAGATTTCTCCCATATATACGGACAAGTCCGTCACATTTGGTTCTACCTTTCCCATCACGAGACTTCAACACCTCAACACCTGGAGTCAATCACCCATCTCAGCATCTCGAACTGTGATCCTCGCCGTACCGCAAAGGGTTTCTCTACAAGAAAACTAGGACGGAAGCATCACGCCCAGCTCAATTTCCAATCCGTTCAAGCCATGGCTGCGCCGTTGAAGCTGGTGACTTCGGACGACCTGCTGATCTGCTGTGCGTGCGGCGCGCAGTACGACGTCGACGAAAAGACCGGCAAAGACGAGTGTCGCATCTGCGAGGTGCGGAGCATATTCTCCTTTTCTTTCCCCTTGTGCATTTGCACAGACACCACCTCTCTCCACCCCATCCTTGCCACTTGTCAATCAAGAATCAAGTATTTCATCCCTCTTGTCGAAACAAACACACATCCACGCATCCAATACCCAATTCCCCCCTTTTTTATTTGGAGCATTTTTCGTTTTCTGTCCCCCCATCGACGCAGCACGCAATGATGGGACCCCCTACCTGACCCGATATCGACATCCATTAGGATCCCAGACAATTCGTTCCGCCCTCAGGCCAGGAGTTCACGACCCTGCGCAGACTCCGAGAGCAGGGCACGTACAGGAACGTGTTCGAGCCGTGCCCGCACAACGACACGGTCGTCGAGATCCACACGGAGCCCAAGGTGAGAAGAACCATTCGTTCGTCGCCACAGAGCCGGCTTTAGTCAGTGACACACGGATGGGGGGTGCATAGCCGTGGACACGACACGACACGACACTTCTTCTTATTCATGGCTCTTCCCCCCAAGGCTCAAGCTAAGATCCCCTTTGTAGTTCGGAATCGGCCAGGGGGCCCGCCTCATCCGCACGCCGAACGGGAATGTGCTTTGGGACTTGATTGCGTATTTAGACCAGGACACTGTCGACAAGGTATGTACAGCATATGCAATACGCGTGGCATACCGCGGGAAGCAGAGGAGAGATGGTGATGGGAAGCAATGGGACACCTCTCTATTTCTCGCGTGAGCTTGTATGCTTTCGTTATTGTCTCCCTCTCCCATCTCTTTAGGGGAAGAAAACAAAATTTTGATGTTGCTTGGTCACCCGCGCACGAATGGGGTTGACATGGTTGCGAATCAGATCACAGAACTGGGCGGGTTGAAGTTTATCATCATTTCACATCCGCATTTTTACACGTAAGACGCCTTCCTCGTTTGTTTGCTTTTTGGCTCCCCATTCTGTCAAGCCTCCCGACGGGGCAGTTTGCTTCATAGATGTTCGTGGTACTGACTGACAAACACGTGCACGACCTTAGAACCTGGGCGGACTGGTCTTCTACATTCAACTGCCCCGTCTACATGACCGAGGTCGACTCCGTCTGGGCCAATAGGAAAGACACACCCTCGGCCACCCTGAAGTTGCTGAAAGAACCCAGCACCGAGCTCCTCCCGGGCCTCACGTCGGTGATCTGCGGAGGTCATTTCCCCGGTAGTCAGGTGCTGCACTCCCTCCCACCAAACACGCCGATCCCGACGCTCTTCGTGGCCGACACCATCTTCGCGGTGCAGTCGAGCCATAATCCCGACCCGGGGAAGCGGGGCGATACCATTTCGTACCAGTTTCTGTGGAGCATTCCCAATTTCATCCCCTTGCCGCCGGACGAGGTGCTCAAGATCTGGAAGGCCCTCAAACCGTTGGAGTTTAAAGCGACGTACGGGGTTATGGCCAAGATCACCAATGTCTGTAAGTATCATCATCTGCTCCCTCCTCGAATTGTAGATTTGGGACTTGTGACGTAGAATGCTGATGGTGTTGGATTTCGACATCAATAGTTGAGAGACCTGGCCAGAGTCTGAGTCTGAAAGCTCGGGTGCTTCAGAGCGCAAAAATCGCCGTCAAAGCGATGGGGTATTCTGACCACAGCATCTTCGTCGAACAGTTGTGATTTATGAGAGTCGTCGTCACACAATGCTGGATGTACCCGAGTTGGCATGGGCTGCTTCAAACCAAGAGAACTGCGTTTAAACATCCATCTCGACTCGGGTCGTTCGTGACCTGCGCGTACTTTCCCCAGACCACTTTTCCGCCAGTCGTGACAAGACCAAGCTCTGATACGTTGACCTCGATGACCGTGCCCTTGGTCAATACACCCAGCTGCGTGTAGAGTGGATTTTGTGGATTCTTCTTGACGCTGATGATGGGCAATTGCACCGTGACGCCCAACTCTGGATGTGTGACGTTTGCCTTTTTGTACCGAAGACCCATGGGCCGTATAAATCGCTCGTACTTGACGGGCCGCCTCGTGAAGTCGGGTCCGACAAAGGTCGGCTGTGTAATCATTCTCTTCCAGCTCTTCTTGGCCGTCTTCTTTCCCGTCTTGACCACCTTGAACATCTCCTCCTCGCTGATCCCCTTCACCTTGGGCAGCGGGACGGAGAATTTAGCCGCCTTCTCGGCCCGCTTGTTCTTGATCGCGCTCGACAGGGCCTTCGCATTGTTGGCCTGCGACCGGTCGAGCAGGTAGCTGGGCAAAGGGGTGGAAGATGGTTCGCTGGGCGCCGCCGACTTGACGTCCCGTTCTTCTTGGGCTCTGATGGCCTTCTTCATTTGGATCTTCTCCGCATGTCGCTTCTTCTGGTGCAGTTTCGCCCGCAGGCCACGCAGGTTCTGTGCCTTGTCCGATTGGGTGTGGCCTTCTCTTGCTTCCCTCTTGCGCACCCGTTCTTCGTGGTCCAGACGCTTGCCATGCTGTTTCTGCCAGCGCTCGATGTACTCATTCTGAGGCATGGCGACGTACTCGGTAACGGAGTGGTCTTGGTCACTCACAGTATGGGGTCGGATCCTGTGCAAACCTCGCAAACAAGTTCGATCGCAACCTAGCCGCCAAAATTTTCGTGAGGGAGATGCCTGTCACGTGCTGTGCTTGTGCCAAGACAAGGCTAACGCAGCTGGCGAGTCACGTGGAAGGCTTTGACCTCCTGGGTAAATACTGGGCACAGTCGTTCGTCAATCGGAACACGGAGTATTCGAGTTAGCCGCTTCTACCCAGCAGGTACCCGGCGAGGCTCGGTAGGTATTGGAAAAGGTGAAATAAACTAGCGTTGTAAGGCATTTTAGCGTCTTGGCACTCGAATACCTATGTAACAGGCTCGGTGGGTACTCAGCTGTCATCTCTATCATTCTTGATAGCTACAGTACCCAGTGCCATATCTAGACTAAACCCCCATCCTTATGTCTCCAGCAACCAACGAAGCCTACCTACCTAAGCATGACCATACAAGTACCGAGCACTCTGCACATTGCTCGTCCATTACTAAGACATTGTACGGAATTATCCACGATCGGCTAGTCCTAATCAAGTAAATACACAGCCGAGTTTGTACTTGCGAAAAGAGGTTAAGACCCTTCTACTATGCAACTAAAGCTTTCCGAAGGCCAAGACGAAAATAAGGTGACAGCAAAAGTCACGGCTCTGGGTGAAAACAGTTGGGGTCTCGATGAAGGGCAGATCGAGATTCGGACTGCATACCATTCCAATCCCGTCACCAAGGATATGGTAAGAAGCTCGTTGACGTTCTACTAGACGACACATAAGCCCCGTGGCATCTCGGTCAAAGATAAGTTTATGGCTAGATATTGCGATGAGCACGCAGAAGAAAAAGAGACGGTTGATGCGAGCAACGCACGATGATGTGATTCGGGTCCACATTCGCTGATATAGCTTGTGGGTGACATATCGCTTCCTGCATTTGATTCTTGGGAGCTTTTGAATATATAATATTCTGTCGACTTGCCAAAAAGTGTCTTCCACGCTTGAAGTGGATTCTGCATGGGCGACCAGACGGAGGATGAACGAGCCGTCCATAGCTACCTGCCTTCTGTGAGGTGAACCAATCTAACTGTGACATGTCTGCCAGGCGGCGCCTTATCATAGATCCTTCTCGTCGAAGTCACTCAAAGAGCCAGTGTTCACGTATCCTCTCTTCGTCCTCCGGCGACTCGGCTGCATAGAACGTGTCGCGTTTCAAAGCTTGTTCAATTTTCTTAGCTTCCTCATACTCTTCGAGAGGCACCCAGCCCTCCGGTTTAACTCTGATTAGATCTTCACACGTCTTCCGTAGTTTATCTGCCTCAGCAAATGCCATGTTCAGCCGCAAGCACTCATGCTCTTCTGTTTCTGAAAAGGTAAGTGGGCACTCACACACAATCAACCTTGAAGTTCTTATCTTCGACTAGTCCTTTGTCAGCTGAATCAAATCTATCATCAAAGTGGCATTATCGTCCTCCCAAGGGGCTGCTGCACGGTGAAAGTGTTTTCGCGTCAAATGTTTGTCTTCTTTGTGCGAATAGTGTAGCGCGATGGACTTAACCTTGTGGTGGTCGTGAGATAGAGGTGATGGAGTTGACGTTTCCGTCGACGTTCGAACTCTTTGGCCTTGCTCTGCTTGGATTCAAGTTTTTAAATTTTCGTGGTATTTGAGGTTCCGGCATTGACTCTGAGACACTATCGGCGTAATTCTGAATGCTTTCGGGCTTGGGTATGCGTAGAAACCGTGGTAGAACCGCGCGATCCCGTGCTCTCGAGGCCGTCGGAGATGAAGATGCTGTGGGGCTGAAGATCCGGATGCTTTATGCCAGGACGAAGGAGGTCTGGAGTCTTGTTAGGGGCGAGAGAGGGCACTAATCGCAAGTACGTCTCGAGGCTATTCAGCTGGTCTGAGTGCGATAGCGTCTGATGATTGTGTGTCTCGCGACGGTAACACTGGACAGGCAGAATTGGCTTTCCATGCGTTTTCCAGTAAGCAATTTCTTTCTTCGCTCCTACCGCAAGGACAGAAACCACCTCTCGATCGATAAGGCGTCAATAAATGGTTGTGAAAAATTCCCACCAGAGCCTTGGCTTCATCCGGTACTTACATGGCCCACGATTAACGTCAAGACCCTTTCTTCTCGCATACCACATTTCCAATCTCGTCTCAGGGCCAACACCAGAAGCGATCTTCACTGATTCTGCCAACTGTGGACACTGACACACAAATAAAGTTGGAAGGAAGGTCTGTATCATAACAAAGGCTGCCACTCGCAGGGGACTGCAATAAGGCTACCTTTTTCTCGAGTTCCACAAGTTGAGAAATATGTTGATTGCTTTTTCATGTTGTAATGCGTTGGCATGTGGTTGTAGGTGGTATCCAAGCACGCCAAGGTCAAGTTACAGAGTGTCTGGCAGACAGGTAAAATAGGCAAGTTGCCCCAAGGCCCAACAGCGCTTAAGGTGGGGGCGGCCACTCCGGTTTAACGTCTCCTTGAAGGGCTCTCGGCACACTTTTGTCTGCAACGCTCATGTCCTCCAAACTCCAAAAGAGACTTGAGGTTGGGGTCAAAACGAGCTGTGCGTTTACACATGACCGTGGCCCTGGCAGACGGTTGGTTCTCGACTGATGATGCATCTTCCCCGACCGCCGCGGACCTCGCTTCTTGAGAACTCGTCGCACGAAAGCTGGAAATGGCTGGCGGTTCGGAGCAAGAGACAAAGACCATGAAGCGGCCGAATCAAACCCGATCAGGACGTCGGCCCAAATCAGCCAACCCATGAGCACTCTTTCTAAATCTTCTCAAGCCTTAAATAGTCAACTGAATGTATACAAGGAAGCGGTGCCATGCTATAAACGATGAAGACTCAGCTAGGTTCAGATCCAAAATCCCAAGAATACAGGCGAGTTCTTTCATGGCGCCCTGGTTGTGACTGCCCATTGCTAACGTCGCTGAATGTCTATAGTCGACAGACCACGTTACTACGTCGTGAACAGAGTCCCTCGTAGGAGCCTACAATTTCGAGGACGTGATTTTTAAATAACAACGAATCACACCGACAGAAGATCGCCTTTGGGCTGGACAAAAAACCTTCAAAACTTTGAGGAAAAGTCAGTAAGACTACGTGATGGACGTTGTCATCCACAATGCTGACCAACACAGCCCAAAAAAAGCCGAGTCTCTCAAGGGATTCCTCCTGTTGAAGCCGAAGCCACCGACGCGTGGTTAGCCATCTTCAATACTATCAACCGTTGACGGACATTCCAACGCGGGTCAACGGCGACAACGGAGACCTACCAGTTGCCTGAGGCTCTCATTTCAGTTTGAGAGCCGAAATCCTGCTGCTCAACAGTTCGATAAATTCCTTTTGAATAGCTCGATGGAGTGGGCTGATACGACTTTCACGGAGTTGGAACCGCTCGTGCGGGCGCGCTATCCGAACTTACCTCTCCAAGAAATCCGAGCTTACCTCTCCAAGAAGCCTATGTCGAATATTTCAATGACACCTTCCACAAGCTCCCCGAGGAAGTGGCGAAAGCGATCAAACTTATCCTACGACATGGTGCGCCACACTTGCCTGAGCTATTGGGGGCAATCGCCACCCTCTTAGGTCATCCGAAGGTTGATTTTGCCAGCAAGATGCTCCGCATAGGCATGAACATCGCTGCAGGCGCCTCGACACCCAGAGCCGGCAATGCCACCGCAAATTCCAGTGAACCCTTGGATTTGGCGACCATGCTGGCTACGGACGCATTTGGAAGAGCGGCCCTTGATACAGTTTCTCATGGCGCCGAGGCTGTGGCCGCAAGTGCCCAAGTTGCAGCTGAGAGCATGGAAAGAGTGGCCAATTCAGCAGACCAGGTGGTCAGGAATGTCCATGGCGTCTATGTCATTGGAAATTCGCTTGTCGATCATATCAATTACTACGGACGTTGGACGTAGAAGGTCTCAGCCATCCAAATTGCTCAGGGGTACCAGGTCATCCGGGCCCTGGCTGACATTGGAGAGCATCTTGGCGAGACCAATAGTTTCACCGTGTCGGGAAGCGGAGGCCCCGACGGCTTTGCGAAACACGTCTACGACTTCATCAAAGAGAAAATTGGTGTGATCCAGGAGGCGGAAAGGGACAATCATCGTTTCTTTGTCTACCATCCTGACACAAACTGGTATCCAGCATTTTATCGACTGATCACGGAGACACCTCTCCCGCCTACGTTTTGTACTAAGTCAGATGACCTGGACAAGTTATGTCAGTACATGCAAGAGGTTAGGGCGCAATTCAAAAGTGAGTCGGGGCGTGGAGAAGACATTATTTTCCACCTACTCATCCCCTCATGGTACTCCATCTCCTTCAAGCAGCCCTTACATTTTCCCGATTGCCTTCAGCCATTCAAAGTTGAGGGGCGGAAGCACAAGCTCAAGGAGTACGTTGAGTTCAACCTTCCAGCACCGCCTGCTGGTCTTTTGGGCGGTGTGGCGAACGTTCTCGACCCCAAAGGCTTGAACAAGGTAGCAGCAGGAGTTTCGACCGCAACAACACTACCGGTGGTGGGCTGGGGTATCAACGGTGCCTGTCTCGCTGTCGGTCTTGGCTTAGGTACTCTCACAGGATTGGGAGCGTTGGTGGCCATTCCGGTCTGGTTCGGCACCGCAGCGCCGGCTATGAGTGCGGCAGCACCAGTTATCCATGAAACTGTGTATGATGCTCTCTGTGAAGAAGCACCAAGAGTGTTGGGGTCCACCCGACGCCTAAACATGGAAGGAGACGTTGAAGGATAGTTAAGGATAACAGCGGGACAGCTTCAGAGAATCGTGTAAAGCATCAACAGCCGGACGGGGAACAAGTCGACGAGCTTCCCTCCCTCCTTCGGATGTTCGTGGAAAAGAAGAGAAAGAAGAGAAATGAGAAGGGCCTGAAGGCGCTCGACAAGGCGGCGCGGAAGGCCGCAGAAGGGGCGAGGAAGGAAGAAGCTGGTCAGAAGTAGGATCGTGGGCAAGAGCAAGCACGAAAGTCCGTGGAAGCGGCAAGGAAAGAGCCTGAAGAAGCGGGTATGAAGCAGGAGCAGGATCATAAGCAAGAGTAGACACGAACGCGAAAGGACTTTTATTTTAGAGGGAATTTTCCACACTCTCACCGGCTTCGTCCTCAAACGCTTGACGGAGTCGCCTATCATAGTCCTCCTTATCCGCCAGCTCCTTGTTGATGAACGGAACCGCCTTCGCGGTCCAATTGTCCACCATGACTGTGTAGAATTCGTCGTTGTCTTCGTGCCCGTCGGCAAGGATCGGCTGGATGTGGTCGTAGAAGACGCGAACGAGCTCCATCGGGCTGCGAAGCGCCAACGTGTACCAGACCGTCCCCGTTTCCGACGCCTGTTTCATGACAGCAGAAAGTCTCTAGTGCGGTAGGCTGGAAACTTGAAGCTTCTACTGGGTCTTCTCCAAGACGGCCATGAACTCGGGACAAAGGGGCTCGTATGTCTCCTTGTCCAGCTGGTCGATTACCTGGTTCGACAGCCAGCGCGGGGGGGTGGATCATCTCAATGGGACAGGAGAAGGCCCATTCGAGATCAGTGAGACGCGTGATGTTCGGGAGTCTGCCTTTTCCCTATTATATAGAACTAAAATAGGCGATTAGGACAGGCTTAGAGTAGACGAGGACTTAGAGAAAAGAGGGAAGAGTCCCCGGGCTTAAGTGAAGTGGAAATAAAAAGGAGGAACTCGGTGACGGGCAGAAGAAGGTATATCCGAGATAAAGGACAGGCGGAATAATAGGAAAGGCGCGACGTGTACAGTGTAGCGAGCCGCTATCAGGAGCAAAGATCACCAGAGCGGACGCAACATAGAGGATATACTTCATTATACACGGAGGGCGTGGGTCACGAGAGATTGCATCCACCATCTTTACTAGGATCCCAGTTTCGAACCCTTAGTTCCCAAAACTATACCCTTGCGGATGGTCGTGTAAACTTTCCACATCCTCGAAGAGAAATACTTACAAAGTACGGCATAAGCATCTAATGATAGCGGGCCCCAGAAACAGGACTGAGCACGGCTAATGAGAAGGATAAGGAGGGTGAGCGGCGGCCTGAGCAGGCTGAGTAGAGTGGCAGGTCACGGTCCCAAACGGGTGCCAAGACCGGGTGCTCTGTCGCCGCTGAATACCCAAGAATCGACCGGCCCTGTTTCCCAAGAATGTCCATCGTAGCAACCTCGTCTGCAACGAGAAAGCCTCTTGCGTCCGTCATTAGAGATGGTATTCAGCGGCGACAAAGCGGCTTGCCGAGGCATCGGTTTGGGACCGTGGCCTGTCGCTTGACCCCGGGATTATGTAGCCTAGCTCAACTTCCTCTCAGCCTCCGCGTGAGCTGCCGACCCTGCTCAGGCCGCTGCTCAACCTCCTCGTCCTTCTTATTATCTGTCCTTAGTCCTGTTTCTGGGCCCCGCGGTTATTGGATACGGGCGAAAATACTCGAGCTCTCTACCATGTCGCGACTTCAGCAACTTTATGCCGCACCGATCTCCAATCTCCGGTTACATAATTGGCACAGTGGATGAGAATCACATTGACCTGGACGGTGCCGTCTACCTGACTTATGGAGCTGCCTTCTTTGCCCGGCATTCTCCATCGTGTCTTTACCAAAAGCTGCCACAACCCTCCCGCCCCAAGAAAGTCGCTTCTCAATAGTCATCGTGTGCGGCCATAATTAAGGGAGCGTCGCCAATAGCAGCCTCAACCCAGCATCGTGGCTGTCCCCAAGCTCGGGCAGGTGAACGCACCCATGAAAGACCTCAGCGTCATCGATGCGAGACTGCCGCTTTTCCTGGCACCCATTCTAAGCGCGGAATTCACATTTGCGCCAAGGCTGCTGCCTGAACTCCAGCCTCGCACGGCCCTACTCGCAGTTGGTACATCTCTTGCGATACGCCAATAAGAAATTTTGCTACTGAACCTACCAGTTTTATACAATCTATATCCATCTGCGATCAGTTTACGAACATTATATTTCAAGGGGCAAGCACACTTTAATCTTTATTTTCCTCTTACCCTAATATCATTACCAAGTGCTGGAATCAGCGTGGATGGCGGACAATGAATTCCAGTACACGCCATTGACGTCAATGTCGCAAGCAATCAGGATTCTCTCCATGAAGAAGTCCAGCTTGACTGAGGTTGAGTGTTGTCTTGAGCCAGCTTCTTTGGAGGAAGACTCGATCTACGATGCTCTTTCTTACACCTGGGGAGAACCGTCTGATACTCCCCTGATCAAGCTCAACGGTCACACTTTCAAAATCACTACAAATCTTGCAATAGGTCTTCAATATTTCGTGAAGATGGAAGCCCCACTACAATCTGGGTTGATGCGGTATGTACAAACCAAGAAGACAACGCAGAGTGGTAAGCCCAAGTGCGACAAATGAAGAGAATTTATGAGAAGGCGAAAAAGGTCATCATTTGGCTAGGAGTAGAATCCGATGACAGCAGCTACGCGATAAAAGTTCTGAATAATATCGGCAGACGCTGGGAAATGCGAAGCTCACAGCCAGCGGCTAAACGCGGTATACCAGCACCTGCCATTAATGAGAGAGCGTTTCGAGTGATAACCCAACTTCTTTCTCGCCCTTGGTGGCGTCGTGTGTGGATCATCCAGGAAGCTACTTGTCCTAACGACACCTATTTAAGATGCGGCAAAGATCAAACCCCATTTTGGGCGGTTGTGGCGACAGTAAACTTTCTAGGACAGCACATAATTCAACAATCTTCCAACAAGGTTTTCAGCCGCTCGATCTTACACATCTGGAAAGATACATCGCCCTAGACCAAGTCAGGCTCGCTCGAACACGTTCCGAACATAGGTCGAGAATGTGCAAAAATATCAGATCCAAGGGACAAGATTTTTGCATCATCTGGATTGGTTCTTGACACTCAGAGAGAGGCTGGAAACCCAGACTACAATATGTCAATTGATGAGTTGTACACAAGATTCACATATACTCTGATCAAATCACAGCGGACTTTGGATGTACTGGGACATTGTCAGGCAGACGTACGAGCGCCGTAGTCTTGGTCGAGCTTCAACTTTCTTCCTTCGTCTTTGATCCCTAAGCGAACTCTACCTTCCGGGACCCCCGACTGGACCTTGGAGCTGGACGCCACGCCATTCATCAAGAATGAAATACCTAATGAGATTTTCTCCAACAAGGTATACAAAGCATGTGATAACTACCCTCCGTCGATTCAGCTGGCGGAAGATCTCCGAACCCTGTTTATACGAGGCGCGGTAATCGATACAGTCTCAAAATTCGGTGAAACCTTTGATTGTCTATTCACACCATCAATAGCAAACCGGTGGCATTCCTGGACTGAAGCAGAACTTGGAAGAATGGATGACGAAAATGAAACTACACATGAAGCTTTCCTACGTATGCTCGTGGCCGACATACGTAAGGCAAAGGGACGATGTCTGCGTGGTTCTGCCGCGCCTTGGCCTATTCAACATAATAAAGACGACGTAAATTCCTTTGTTTCCCACACCAATATCATTCACGCGTTGAATGATAGAGGGCTCTGCCTCCTGAAGAAAGGTTATATGAGCTTAGCTCGTTGTGGCGTGACGGAAGGGGACAAAATCTGTATACTGCATGGTGGACAAGTCCCTTTTGTTTTGCGACAAGACGGGAGTTACCACCTGTTTAAGGGTGAATGTTATGTTCATAGTGTAATGGATGGAGAAGGCATGAGATATCCGAGAGTTTGGCAAGATTTCGCACTACGCTGATGATCTATATAGTTAGAACCTATGGCTATGTTGTTAGACGCAGCCTTAAGGGAGGCTGGTCACGAGCTATGAGAGACACGGTATAGCACACTCATTGGACACGTGAAAGGAAGCCTTGCAGATGGACAAGGACAAGTCACGTGGTACGCCCTGTTGGCTCTGTTGGCCCTGCCGGCCCTGTCAACAGAGCGCACAGAGCGCACAGAGCGTAAGCATTATATATACACCCTCACCCCCTTAGATAGTTACACTCTCTTCGTAGCCAACTCATGTTATCTACTGGACTATACAGTTCTTAGTAACATAGGACTGCTCATACCGCGCGTGATCCACAACCAGCTCATGCTATAATAGGATTGTTGCTGAGAACCCTAACCCAGTTAGGATCAGTAGGGATCCTTAACATATGTGCATAACTAAAAGGTACAACCTGTGATAACCTGGTTAGAGACCTCAAGAGTGACTCCTGGCAGCAATAACCGAGGGGTTGCGGAACTGTGACTCAATCGAGGACATGATTGATTGTAACAGAGCCAGAGGACCTGTCTGACTATATACTATCGAGTAATTTACACTGGTAGGTATCGACACTCGTCCGAGGCCTTCGGCCGAGTACTAATAGGCGGTCTTTACAAGTCCATCTCTTGGCAGTCCTGCCGTGTCACATATGCCAAGACACAAAATCACGTGCTATAGACTTCAATAATGCGCCAAAATCTTCTGGCTTGACTAAGGGAAACTGCTCCATTTTGAATCTGAATATGGATCTGCCTGCGTTCACGCTCGCCCCTTAGGAGTCCTGGATCGTCTGAGTTGTCACGGAAGCGATTCATAGGCTAGGCCATAAAATCCGGAGCGCACATCAGTTACTTAAAATCACCAGGCCGTTTCCTTGTTGGTGGCTGCGACTTCTCGAGATGTAACGGCGCAGGCATTCTCCGGCTCGGTTCGCCTCGATCTCGGACCTGAAGGCCCCAAGAACGGGACCTTGCGCATCGATTTGCTAGGGTATCTCCTCACCCAGAACGCTGCGAAACATTTCCACTTCGCTGCCAGCCACCCCGGCGGTCAAATGACCGTGAGGGCAGTGGAAGATCTCCAACGCACAGAGAACAGCCATCGATATACCATGACCGAAAATGGAGGCCGTCAGTGGTGAGTGTATGCGCTTCTCCGTATCTCACATCCCGCCCGCGAATCCGATGAGTTGGCCAGATACCTCGTACAGATTCAGCGTCGCAAAAGACCTCGTCGAGACGACACACCTTTTTTTCGCAGGTGCCGAAGAAGAAATGATAAGAGTGATGACAAACAACTATGCAAAGACATTGGCTCCATTCCCCCCACAACCTCCAGAAAGACGCACTCTCCTAACCATGGAGCTTGGGCCACAAAGTCTTTTCTTCCCCCTCAGCGAAGTGAGAGAATCGCTACCTCCTAGACTGACCGGCCCTCCGGCGGGATGAGCAGGGCTGTTGTCCTACCCCAACTGAGACACTGCCAGTCACTCAGTCCGTCGGTCCCCGATCGATAGACCGACCAACCGACCGACCGAGCTACCAGCCGCCTACCGATAGGCTGATCAGGCGCTTTCACCGGCCGGCGGGCGGGATTTCAGGGGCGTTGGTTATTTTTTTCAACTCGGAAGGGGGGAAGGCTGTGGCAGTCTGTTCGACAATTGTCGGCCCAATTTATATCATAGCCAACGTGTTGGTTTCGCAACGCATGTTCGTGGTGTCTTCTCATGATAGGCATGGGGCAAAAGAAACGGCAACAAGACGGATTTCGTTTCAAATATCCAGTACGAGGTACAATGAAACAATTTTTTTATTTTCTTCTTCCGGGCAGGCCGCCCTAATATGCTGCATATTGCCCGAGGTGGCTATGCTATGCTGAGCTATAACTATAGCTACTCTATACCTGATATGCATTAGCACCTCCATCCAGGTCGGACGTTGCGACCGGAGGACGATATAACTAAATGCTGTCCAGGAAAATCTATGATCGTACAACACCCCAGGGCACATCTAATGTCCGGGTGTGACATGCTGTCCAATAGGTAAAATCTTTTTCTCGTGTCCGTTTCCCATATCCTGATTCCAATCCGGTGGATCTCATGGTAAACGAGTGATCATGAGTCTCGTGGCCTCGAAGGGTTTCTCTTTTCCGCATTACGGTCATTAGTGTGAAGTTGCGCAAGTATGCTGCTGTCAAAAAGAAAGAACCAAATTCTGAATATCGTGATTGCGACGCTTTTGTCTCCCTGGTTGTTGTTGGGGAACAAGATGAGTCGAAAGGCGTGTTAGGTGGATCGGGAGCAAAAGACAATCTTGGTGCCGATGTTCATCTCGCTGTTCAAAGCAAGGCAGCAACCATCATGGCAGCAGCTGCACCAGCAATCTTGAATCCCCCGGTAGCTACCGGCGCAGCGGCCCCGGTGAACTGGCTGACAACAGGAGCAGCTGGTGTTGTCGAAGGGGCAACCGATGTCGTCCATACCGAAGTCGATGGAGCAACAGGCGTTGGCGTCGGGGTCACAACCGGCGGAGATGAAGACCAATCGTTCCACTGGCTGCTCGAGGGCGCAGGAGCCGGGGCCGCGGGGACGCTGGACGACCAATCGGCCCATGTGCTTGAGCTTGTAGCGGGAACGGGTACCACGGGCGTAGAACTTGTCCAATCTTGCCATGTCGTCGTTGGAACTGGAACAGGGGCAACAGAAGAAGTCCAGGTCTCAACTGGGGCTGGAGATGAGGACCAATCTTGCCAGGAGGAGGTCGGCACAGAAACCACGATTGAAGACGACCAATCTTGCCAGGAGGTTGTCGGAACAGAAACCACAACAGAAGACGTCCAGTCTTGCCAGTGAGATGAAGTCACTGCTGGCGCTGGAGGGGAAGACGTCCAATCGGCCCAGGACGTTGTCTCAACAGGAGCTGGCGGTGCTGAAGACCAAGCTTGCCATTTTGAAGTCTCGGCGCCTGAAAAGACATTAGTACTGAGGAGTAGAAGTAACTGGGACATGATTCCACTGACCTCCGTTTCCTCCCTTTCCGCCTTGACTCGACCAGTCTCCCCATTGACCACTGTCACCGCCTTGGCCTCCCTGGCCACCCCTGCCGCCTTGACCTCCCCATTGACCACTGTCACCGCCGCCTTGGCCTCCTTGGCCGCCTTTGCCGCCTTGACCTCCCCACTGACCATCACCGCCGCCAGGTGCTGCGACAGCAAGTGTGGCGAGTGCGAGGACAAGTGTCGATCTCATGGTGTGGTTGGGTATGATATTAGTGTATTGACAAGTAACGTTTGAGGTTGTATGAGTATTGAATCTCGCGTGAACGATTGGCCTTTGAACGAAGGACTATGCTTGTGGGAGGAGAGAATGATTGATTGTGAGGATGAATAGAGAACACAATGCAAAGGTCAGGAAAGGCATTCAAATACTAATACTTTGGAAAAGGGAGACTCACGTCATGCACAACCAGGGAGGTTGACAGCTCAGGCGGCGTGCTCCATACAGTGTGACTGGGAAACCCTAATTGAGCATCCAGCCGACTCGGTGGCTCTATTCAGGAGGCAGGGTCAATGTGGTTGGATGGAAAAAAGTCCATCTTGGTCCGCATCAACAAACACCGCAAGTCCAAATGGGCGCCATCGTGGGCAGCGTCACCAGCAAGTGGAGTATAGAAAAGGAGAACAGACTGGGCTGGGGCGGAATCGGCGAGTGGGATGCTGCTGAGTTTTGGCCCACACTTGTATACCCCGTATACTTGTACGGTCTGCTGTTCAGGGGGAGTTCCCAACAAGGAACGTAGAAGACACGGTAAGGGAAGACGTTGGCGGAACATGTGTCAATGGGAAGAGGCTGGATTCAAGATGAAACCGCACTAGGCAACCCTCAGCCAAGCATGTTTTGGAAGGCTGGACGTGGTTAGAACAGGCGCAAGGGGCAGCCACAAGCAGAGCGAGCGAACCCGAGCAGGCAGAATTCTCGCTTAGAGGCAGGGGAGGCTTGGTGGGCTTGGTGGCTTGGTGGCTCGGCGGCTTGGCGGCTTGTGGCGGGCCGAGAGGCTGACCGGCGTCTCCATAGAGACACTCCCCTTTTCTCTGGGACCAAAATCCTTTCCTCGGGTCGACGACGGCAACTCAGGGCGTGTTCGAGACTCAAAGACTGGTTCGCTGGATGGCCTTTGATTGCAGGACTTGGACAGCGATTCCTCCTGCAACCCCTTGTTTTCTTTGACCACAGCAATTCTCCCTTGCCGCTCCGCTCCAAGAAGCCCAACATGGACTGGTCAGGTGACCATCTGGGCTGATCGCGGGGTCGCGAGGAGGAAGAGGGGAAGAGCTCAGCAAGGCGCTCCCGATGCCCGTCAGGCCTTCTGGTGATGGTGGCAAGGCCATGATTGATCATTAATTCGCGCCCTCCGCATCAGATTGAAATTCAAGGCAGCAACCCGTGGAGCTGGGAACTCTTCGGATTGAACCTGTCTGTAGTCTGTTTGTTGCTCGCTGTTGGATCTTCAACCGGCCATTGTTGCGCAAAGGCGCCCGAGACAGGCAGAAACCCGGGACCATGACATACGAAGCACAGATATCTTTTACCTTGGACACGATTTGCCCTTGGTGAGACATCCGTCAACCGTGATCCTGGAATCTCTGGCGCATCCACTATTCATTGGTCATTTATGTTGGTATCCGGGCTGATCTGTCGCACAGGACGTACCTGGCCAAAAGACGGTAATGTTTGCCCATGACGCCCTCGTCTGGTGGGTGAAGGGAATCGGCTGGGCTAGATGATTGACTCGCATAATCTGAGTTGGCAGGCTTGACGAAGGTCTGTTCTTCCCGCAATGATGTGCATCAATCCTTGGTCTGTTGCTCGATGTGCGACCCAACCGAGCTTCCACCTGACGGTTGACAGCTCTTCGTCGATTCCGACAGAGTGACGATGCAAAGGACGTGAATTTTGTCGTCAAGTATTTTCCCTACCAGCTGCATCCCGATGCGACCAGGGAGGGCGAAAGCAAGTATGACTGGTATAAGAAATCTCGTTATGGCGACTCGGAGGAGAAGATGAAGATGGTAGGGACCTTTGAAAGAGCCATGTCAATGTTGCCGTCTCCCCTTGCCGGCGGTCTCTCTCTTCTACCACGACTCTTCCATGCTAATGCGTATCGCTTGGCACTTCTAGTATATGACATTGATGTCCGCGTATGGTGTCTCTGCCGGCATCAATTTCAAGTTCGGCGGCACGGTTGCGAATACACTGGATGCACATCGCGTGATCCAACACTTTCAAGAAGAAAAGGGCTCCGAAACTGCCGACAAAATCATCAATTGTAGGTGTCACAGAAACCAGAGAGATGGTGTAGAACACATCCTTTGCCCCCCGTTTTCCATTTCGAGAGAAACAAGCTCGCTCACTTACCTCTTCTCTTCTCCGGTGCGACCATCACAGCGCTCTACTTCCAGTATTTCGAGAACGAGAAACACCCTTCTTCAGACGAGACATTGCTCAAAGCAACCACCGACGCCGGCATTCCCGAATCCGAGGCTCGTCCATTCATACAAGACAAGAACGATGGCATGATGGATGTCAAGAAGTGAGTCTCTCCCGGTCTTTGCGAGTTGTTTCATGCGAGAGCAAGGGAGTCATTGCGGACAGACTGTCAGGATTGCAATGAGCTGACATGTGGTTGCAGCATGGTTCGTCAGCAGGCGGGCAACGGAGTGGATTCCGTACCGACGATTATGATCGAGGGGAAGAGGAGGGACATCACACTCGTAGGCGCGAAGGAGGTCGAGGAATATGAAAAGGCGTTGAAGCAGATTGTCAAAGAGAGCAAGTAGGTTTTGAGCCTGGAGTGCAGACATGATGGAGCTATGCATGGAGACAAAGGCTCCGCCGACGATGAATGGTGGGACCGTGGAATGGAGGAAGGGATGTGTTGGGGTGTTGGAATGTGTTCGCCTTGGATCTGTCCCGGTTGATGCCTTGCCTCTCAATACATCCTCACCCCTACCCTCTCTTTGTCTATATCAAATGCCACCCCCAGTCCTCGGAAGAAAGGCTCTCCAAGCACCCATACGTCTTTCATGCCACTTTCTAGCCATTCTCTTTTCTGCCCCATCCTCGTCTCCACCACGCTTCCTACGCAGTACCCCGATCCATCGCCCAGTTTCCCCAGGCTTAATCTTCCTCCTGCGGGGCCATGCAGCCCATCCGCCCAAGTACCCTGACCCTGCATTGTGGGAAAATTCTGTCCAGCAATTTCAAAGGCGACGTGAACTTCGTTAAAGCATGGGAAGGCGAAGAAGAAGTCGTAGGGCCGAGGCAGCCGTTTCGTACCGCCGATGGAGTCGTAGAACCGCTGGGCGGCAAGCGGTGGAGCCAGGATGAAAGGGACGTTGATGTCGAAGAGGATAGGTTGGTTCTTCAGGACCTGGACACGGGTTAGAAGATGTTCGCTCTCCGTACCGAGTAGAGTCGATTATACCTTTGCTCCATTAACCCACACGCCCTTCATCAACGCCGTCCACCATCCCGCAGCGCCTTTCACCTCCGTCCACTTGAAGTGTTGTTTCCAAGGTATGTCGGCCGGCATGGCCCCCTGTAATTGAGCCATCACCTGCTCGCTCACCCATTCCGCGGTCACAGCAGGATCACCAAAGTACTTCAACTCAACTTCTCCCCGTATCTTCACTTCCTCGACCTCTTTTGCGATGGTGCCACCGAGGCTGAGGATGCCAGTCTCCGCGTCCAGCAGCGTTACTGACCATACCTTTTCTTTGATGATGTCTCCCTCTTTCAACTGGGTCAACAGCGGAGAAGAGGGCATTCGAGCGAGAGACCCGCTGTGTGGCGCAAGACCCAGAAACGTACCGGAATGTGCAAGGCTCTGTCGAGATGACTTCGATGGTGTGCATGTTGGAAAATCGAGTCGAATTGGTGGCAGGCTGGGAGGGAAGTGGAACTCTTCACTGGGGCGCCTGCAGACCGGATGGAGTCTGTCTTCACTGAAATCTGGTGGAGGTTTCGGTCAGGGCAAAGCGAATGCTGCGTTGTCTCCTTTACCTACGGTGACTTTGTGAGCCAGACGTGTTGTACCTGGACCCCTTGCTACTCGCAGTCGTGATCGTATAGAAATCTGGACTCAACATGTTCACGTCGACCTCCAATCTTTGTCGTGGATTGCCCACTTCAAATGTCGCGTACCTGCGCCCCTCACCTTCGAAATCAGCGATCCTAGTTCCCTCTCAAGGGCATGATTGGGAACCAAGGTGTTCATTCGTACCATTGATTTGGCCCTCCGACGATAGCAATCACCTCCGGATCATTCTCATCCTTGCACTCGCTTGCCCGCCATTTACGCACAAGGCGGTTCCCTTCGATTGCACGGGAGCTGCGTGCATACCTTGCCTCGGCGTCATGAAGGACTGATGTGAGATATGTGAGGTTCGCCGACTCGCGGTACGAGAAGCGGCCTCCCCTTCTGTGCAGGGGCAAGTGGATGGCGGAATGGGCGGACTGCACAGAGCAAGCGAAGAACAAGGTCAAGCTGACAATGACAAGGCTGCTGAGAAAAGACATTTTTGATTTATGTACTTGCTCAGTTCTCACAGAGTGTACAGGCCTGAAACGCGTCTGCAGCGAAAAGGAGACAACCAAAGTCTCCATGACAAACTTGAAAGCGCTTGTTTTCACATCCCGACCATGCCGTGCCATGCCATGCTTTTAGGGGTATAACAATGTTTCCGTAACCGCAACCTTGAAACCACCCGCTTTTGCTCTAGTGATGCTGATGCTGACGCTGATGCTCATGCTGGTATATCGTTCAAACTCTGATCGACGCACTCCTCCGTATCCTCTGCCTTGCTCTAATGTTGATGCTCGTGATGTCCATTCAACCTGTCTTCAAAGTACTCCTCCAGATCCTCCGCCTCGCTCAGCCTTAATGCTTCCTCAACACTGCCCACAAAGTGTCTCGTCCCGCCAACCATGTCGACAATGCCGCTTCTCTCAAAGCTTTTGTAAACTTGACTGCGTCTTTGGGGTAACCTGCAGATGATAACACGAATACCGCGCTTCACGTAATCTTCCACGATTTCAGCAAACACTTGGGTTCCAGATCCATCGATCGTGGTGACGCCGTGCACGTCAAATATGATATTGCGGTTGTTATCCTCGTGGCGCACTCGTGGTAGAGACGGATGAGCAGCGGTAGTGCCGTACTGCTCCAACCGCCTCAGACGATTTTTCAACTCTCCGGTGTTTGCGAAGGTGAGCGGTTCGGGGATCTTGACGATCAGACAACCTTCAATATACTCAATATTCTCTGGTGTAAGTTCCGCATTTTCAAATTGATTTGAGGTCCCAGGCACTTTGCCGAGGATCTGTATCCTAGGCTTTGTTGCGTGACGGATCAATGCCAGCAGGGACAGGCCGATGCCGAGTGCCATTCCGACCGACAAAGAATAGAACACCGTAGCCACAAAGATAATCGTCATCAGCGACAGCTCTGTCCAGCCTCGGATCTTGAAGAAAAATTTGATGTCGTGAGGACATTCTTCGATCAGGGAATATGCAACGACCGAGATCATGGCCGAAAGGACGCCCTTAGGCAGGTAGTAGAAATAGGGAACAGCAAACAGGACACACATCAAGGTGATGAAACTGAGGAAAATGCTACTCATCGGCGTGGTGCCTCCGGTCGAAGCGTTCACTTTGCTTCTTCCATAACCCCCGAATGCAGGCAGCGCCATGAAGACACCACCTACAATGTTGGCAGCACCCAGGGCAATCATTTCTCGGTTGGCGCTTAGCGTCATGTGCTTCACTTGACGCCCTTCTCCTAGGCTTTTTGCGGCCACCGAAGATTCAAAAAACCCTAGTAATGCAATCAAGAAAGACGTGCTCAATGCGGTGTCGATATGTTTCATGTGCCGAAACTGGAAGGGCCAGTGGAATGGGATGGCTGTTCCACCCGACGATTTGACTTCACCAAGAACATCGAGACCATGCTTGTCCCAGGCATAGGCCCAAGTCAGAACCGCCGAGAGAGTGACGACAATGAAGCGGTCGGGGAAGTATGCCACCCAGTGATACCTTGGCTGTAGAGTCTGCTTGAGATATCTGTGATGTCAGAACCTTGTAGATCCTTCGCCCAGTCACAACTTACCTGAAAACCATAATGACGGCAAAAGCTCCAAAAGAAACAGCGGCTGTCAAAGCGTGAGTGTTCCCTATGTTCCTCGCCAGGAATACCAGCTTTTGAGCACAGCTTCCGTGCGACACACCATCCATTTGCTTAGCAATTTCGGCGAGGCCCAGCTCGGGAATCAATTGGTCGACAATAATGACGAATCCGATGGCGCTGATAAAGCCTCGAAGAAAGGGTCGGCTGAGAACACTGTCGAGAAATCCAAGTCGAGCCAAGCCAGCGCTGAAGATAATAGCTCCAGCTATGGCAGTTGCCACGCCGCCGATTTCGGCGTTGAGCTTAGAATCGTCATCTTGAGACTCCCCCCTCTCAATGCATGTCTTGACCACCTGGCCAACCAGTAATGACCCCGCTGCTTCAGGTCCAACAACCATCTGCATGCAAGTACCCAGCAATGCATAGATCAGGGGGCTGAAGACAAAGGAATAAAGCCCATTAATGGGAGATACATGAGCAAGGTTCGCAGCGTACGACAGCGACATCGGGATGTAAACGGACGCAACTGTGATAGCAGCGACCAAATCCCCCTGTAACCAACTCAATCGGTACTGGCCGATCCACTTGACGAAAGGAAAATAGTAGGAAAAGTACATGAACCGGTGACTCTTAATGCCATGTCTTTCGGCCAGCCATCTGGTTGTGCTAAGACTTTTGCTTGGTGCGAGAGTGTCGGAAACAACCTCGCCCAGGATCCCCCGAACTTGATCCTGTGAGTTGCCGTCCTCGGCAATCTCGCCAGCGTACCGACCACCAAAGGAGAGGTTGGCGCTCCCGTCGCTGTCGATCGAAGGAGCCCTTGGAGAGAAGGTTCCGTGGTTGCAGTCTCTGAGACCGCAAATACGACTGTGGTGATAATTTCCCAGCAAGGCATCCCGCTCATTAAGCGACTTTCTCGAAGGTTCTTGTAATTCTGCTTGGACATCGGCCCCTTCCTCATTCACGAGAGGCTCAGGCTCAGTGATGAGAGGTGTATTTTCGTCGACGGTCAAACTCGGCGGAGGAAGGCGCGGATTTTCCTCTTCACTTGTATCTTTATCTGACTTCGATCTTGCCATCTTGTCTTCGGGGGAGAGAAGTGTGGTCTCCCGCAGTCGGCTGGGAATCAGAGGAGCATACTGGTCTGCGTCTGCAAATCGGACGCTTTGTTGAGAAACCCGTCGCGGGGGAGTCGAGGGATCGTTGGCACGAAGGCTCGATGACTTCTGGTCAGCCATGGCTGGGGAGATCAGAGAGCCGTTCAGGAGCCCGATGAGGGTGCCAATGTGGTCATTTCTGAGTCAACAGGTTCTGAGAGGAACCCAGGACTCAAAAGGTTGAATCTCCCGCAGGTTGAGCGGACAAGGCACGGAGTGAGGCAACTTATAAGATGGATAGAGACGGGGTTTGTCCAAGCGAATAGAATGTCTGGCTGGGAGCGTGTGAACGCGGTGGCCACCAACGACGGTTGAAGTTGAATCAGCAGGTCATTTTTGCCTCGCAACTCCAATCAGCCGGAACCAAATTGCCATGGAAGTTGACTTGACGTGGGTTGCTCGGTTGTTTTTTTCAAATGACGTGGGGTATGCCGCTTCCCAGTAGAAGGCCTGTCTCTTGAGGCACGTGATTCGGATTATCTTTTCTCCACGTTGC